GCTTTAGCACTCTGGAGTTTTGCCTACCTGCCTGAGGCTACTCTCATTTTCAACAAAAAGGAGATTTTCACGCAGTTTTCAATGCATTTTCACCACAACGCCCCCGTATCTTGCGATAGCGCCCTTTATTCTGCAAACCTCGATGCGGTGATCTACCTCTTCGGAGCCTCTAAACTTAGGGTACGTCACCAATACAATTCATTCGATATGCGACATCAGTCTATTAAGTTTTTCATATTCATAAGCACATCAAGCCGGTGGTAGGATGTAGCTGTCCACTGATTCGTATAAGACTCTTCTGAAATAGGGCTCTTCGGCATGTCAAGGGTGTTAGACTTTTGTTGAGATCACCTCCGATTTCAATCGCTCGCGACATGCTGCTGTATGCGCCATCTCGTCCACTATATTCTCTCGCCTATCTTCTTTCCTTCCTGCACAATGTCTAATCCTGAGCACAGTCGAATCAGGAATATGAGAAAGCCTCTAACTTTAGCGTTCACTTCTAATTGTTTTCATTTTTACTGCCAGTCCACTTCTTTTCCTTTTTTTTTCGTCTGCATGAACCACATCGCATCAGTTTGATCGTTGGGTATGCTTCGAAAAATAACAAACCACAGTAACTCTCTTTGTGTTCTCTAGAAAACTACACTTTTCCGTGATCCAGAAATTTTCGACATGCCTCACATGCCAAATCAGTTAACTACTCGATGCGTTTTGCGTTTAACTGACCGAGGCCTGAACAATGTTAAAAATAGCGCTACCAACGCTTCTGTTTTTTTGTGTACAAGAACTTGTTTCATAAGACATTCTTCAAAGGTATCCCCTTCTAACTTTGAAGGAAACGCCTTAAAGGCATTCGAATTTATAAGAATTAAGTAAACCATTTTACTGTGCCGGCCTACTGGGTTCTAATTGCCAAAATTAGAGCGCTGCATGTAATGGAAGGCAAATTTTTCTTTTCCTCCGATATGAAGGAACGCCTTGCAGTTTTCTCACAATACTGTAATGGTGTATCAGACCCAACTCTGATTTGTTTTTTTCAGATCCCCGTTCTGCACCACATTCTGTCAAAGGCAGCTGTTGCTGCTCGACCAACGGTTTTGTGGTGCTACAAGAAAGAAGCTTGGATACAGTTCTAATAAAAAGAAGCGAATACGTCAGATCCACTTGAAGTCTTCCGTCAGCACAATTTCGGTAACCCTTTTTCAATTACAACTTATGAGATCATCTTATTTTGCATCCACTGACTGGCAGTGATGTGCTGTCGAAAAAGTCTTCAATGTTTTGTCGTTTCATTCTTACCGGGAGCAATTTTCTTGAATAGGTGATGCTGTATAATCATCGCATCCAGTAAAACCGTGAAGGGTTTTGCATTTGATATCGTTCAGGAAGGTGATCCATTCGAAGTTTTCATTTCGATGACGAAAATTCGTTATTGCTATTATAATGAGACACAGAACATTTTGGGCAATACCTACGGAATGCTTGTGTTACAGGTTTGTCAGGAATTCTTAAGTTTATTCATAAAGCATGTCGATCAGAATTTTGAATAGATTATTGAAGGACTTTGAAGCCCTTACTCCAAATCTGCTGGCGCGAACAATCGAAACCATTGAAGGTGGAGGGATCGTGGTGTTGTTGATGAAGACTGTCAACTCTTTACGGCAACTTTACACAATAGCCATGGTTGGTGCTTCGATAACATATACGTTTTGAGTAACAATGCGACAGTTCTAAATGCTCATTGTGATGAAAAAGTGATCTCTCATTCTTTTTATGAAAGTAGTTCAAGATAAACTCTAACCTTTATGATAGCCTTTGAACTAAAGGATCCTAGCCCACAGACAAGATTTTGATCTCCATTGATTG